AGTCCCCCACCGTCCTCTCCCCCACGGCCGGGAAGGGAGAGAGCGAGGATGGGGAAAGGTCCCCGGCAACGCAACGCCCCCCCCCCCAAGTATGCAGCCAGGAGCAGCGAGGAATGGAGCGGCTTATATTTGAGTATTTTTTCTTTCTCCCCCCCCCCCCATTTTAAAGGTGCTGCTTACCGTATTTTTCGCCCCACGAGACGCACCTGACCATAAGACGCACCTGACCATAAGACGCACCTAGTTTTAGAGGAGGAATGCAAGGAAAAAAAATTCTTTAAAGGGAGCGCTGAGCTGAGCCTGTATGCATCCCAGGCTCTGCTCAGCGCTCCCTTTCATGAGCTGCATGGAGCGTGTGTGTGTGGCGCTTGCAGGCTTTTCCCCGAGAAGGGAGAAGGGCAGCCCGTCACTGACGGGCTCCCTTCTCCCTCCTCGGGGAAAAGCCCCCAAGAGCCGCACACATGCTCTGCGTGGCTCTTTAAAGGGAGCGCTGCTCTTGCTGGCTTTTGCGGGAGGTGGGGGAAGGGACAGAGTGTGGCTAAGCCAGAAGCTAGAACAGCGAGAGGGAGTGCTGTGCAGCAATCCCTTTCGCTGTTCTGACTTCTGGGATAGCTGCGCAGCCTGCATTCATTCCATAAGATGCACACACATTTCCCCTTACTTTTTAGGAGGAAAAATGTGCGTCTTATAGAGCGAAAAATACAGTATATTCGGTCCAATACGGTATTTCTTTTAAAATCTGGACTTTTCAGTGAAGCTTAAGTTCGTCCTGCAAAAGCTTTTTAAAAGCCTCCTCCCACTTCCCTTTAAGACTCTGATCTTTGCAAGCCTCTTTTCGGCCTTCAGTATCAGAGCTTGCATGGTTCACCTGCAAGCATCAGCAATGCCTGCATGCAAAAGTGTGTGAGCTGCTTGAAATGACACTTTGGAAAAGTGAAGCTGAAATGAGACTGGGGGCTCACTTAAAGTGCTTCTTCCCAGTGCTGCTTCTCCTAGGGGCAGGTAACAGCAGAGCAGTGGGTGGGGAAGAGAGCCAGCATGGTGTAGTTGTTAAGAGTGGTAGACTCGAAATCTGGTGAACCGGGTTTGCGTCTCCGCTCCTCCACATGCAGCTGCTGGGTGACCTTGGGCTAGTCACACTTCTTTGAAGTCTCTCAGCCCTACTCGCCTCACAGAGTGTTTGTTGTGGGGGAGGAAGGGAAAGGAGTTAGCCGCTTTGAGACTTCTTTGGGCAGTGATAAAGCGGGATATCAAATCCAAACTCTTCTTCTTCTTCTCTCCAGCTGTTCTGCTGCCACTTGCAAGAGAAGGCTTTAATCTCTGCTAATCAGCTGATGAGCAAAGTTTTAAGTCCCGCTACATTGGTTGTGCGATCCTGTTCCCTGCTAGGAACAGGACACACAGCCAGTGCAGGATTAAATCCTGTCCTGCTGCCCATAAGCTGACATTGCTGGCTTCAGTGCTTGATTCTCCTCTGCCCTCAATACCTGGAATGTCTTACAAGCATAATATGGAGGGAAATAAGTATAGGAGGAAGGAAATAGGATAGACTTCCAGATGTTATATGCAGTGGCATTTCATTTGGGGGAGAGGCAGTTGCCCCAGCGCAAAGTTGCAAGGGGCACAACATTTCAAAACCAGGTGCTGCCTCAGTACAGCTATGTGCTTCATGCTAACCGGGAAGTGACCTCTCCAGACAACAGAACAGCTCTTCTTTTCTTATCTCTGTGGCTGTGATCTCCTGGGTGAGGTGGACACTGTTAGGCAGTTGAATGTGCACACGTACTCTGTTTCCCTCCCTCCGTGCGGCCCCAGTTGCTGGCAATCCATGCTACGCCACTGGTTATATGCACTTGAATTTTTGTAGCTTCATTTGTGTGGCGTTGTAGTTTTAATATTTAATGTATTTACCACGTCAGTGTTCCTTTTTACTGCATAAAGGTAAAGGGACCCCTGACCATTAGGTCCAGTCGTGACTGACTCTGGGGTTGCGGCACTCATCTCGCTTTATTGGCCGAGGGATCCGGCGTACAGCTTCCGGGTCATGTGGGCAGCATGACTAAGCCACTTCTGGTGAACCAGAGCAGCGCACGGAAATGCTGTTTACCTTCCCGCCGGAGTGGTACCTATTTATCTACTTGCACTCTGATGTGCTTTCGAACTGCTAGGTTGGCAGGAGCAGGGACTGAGCAACGGGAGCTCACCCCGTCGCGGGGATTCGAACCGCCGACTTTCTGATCGGCAAGTCCTAGGCTCTGTGGTTTAACCCACAGCGCCACCCGCGTCCCCTTTACTGGATAGCCTGCTGCTTTTCCTGTGCTTTGCCCCCACCTATGTTGGCAAAAGATAAAAGACATGTGGGCTGGGCCCACAATGTACACATTGGAATCAATAGCTTTTAGACTCCTTGCACTCAGGGAACACCTTTGGATTGGATTTGTCACCTAATGCACCCATATGCATCTGCCTGCATGCTGCAGAGGCTTCTAAGGTGCGTTGTAAAGCAGAACATCACTGCAGGGTGAGGGGATTCATTGTCTTGGTTGAGATAGAGTGCCAGTCAGGATTGTGAGCTTTCATTGTTGCTCTGGGTGGACTGAAACTGCATCTTAGAATGACTTAGTACCGTATGTTTTGCTCTATAAGACTCACTTTTTCCCTCCTAAAAAGTAAGGGGAAATGTGTGTGCGTCTTATGGAGTGAATGCAGGCTGTGCAGCTATCCCAGAAGCCAGAGCAGCAAGAGGGATCGCTGCGCAGCGATCCCTCTTGTTGTTCTGGCTTCTGAGATTCAGAATATTTTTTTTCTTGTTTTCCTCCTCCAAAAACTAGGTGCGTCTTATGGTCTGGTGCGTCTTATAGAGCGAAAAATACATTGCATCCTTGTGGCTGCCACAATTGCCACAGCAATTGCGGACACCATTGTTCACAGAAGCTTGTCTGCCACTACCTAGTTCTCTCTCGGAAGAATTCCTGATTAGCTCCCAAGGAATGCTGTGAAACTCAGTTTGGAAACTTATCATATCATTCAGCAAGATAAAAGGTAGAAGAAGTGCTGCTGGAAGCAGGAAGGATTAAGAGAGCCATAGAAATGGAGTATGTTTGGTGAAAAATGACTCAAGAGTTAACACTGAGTACAAACTTTATGGTCCCCCAGGGTAAGAAGAGGTGGAAGGGACACAGTTGAGGCTCTGAGAGAAGAGTTTTTGAGTTCCCAGTTTGGATCATATATTTACATTATTATTAGATCATCCCCCTGAAGAGGTGTAACTTTAATTTGGTAAGTCATTTTCCTTTCTGAAGGAAAAATGAGGAACAAACCTGGTTTGCAGTTCATTTTGGAATATGCTTAGCCAAGGCTGTGTGCATTCTGTACTGAAATGTTTCAAGTACAGCCAAATACTACCTTTATAAAATTTGTATCCTGCAGCCTGTATGCATACGCCTTGTTTATTTCAAATAAATCTACTTCTTGTGGGCAATGGCTGATTCAGATCACTGTAGCCATGCCTGCTTACAGCTGGGTAGTTCTGATGAGTAACACCTTCCCTCCAAGCCAGGCATAGGCAAACTCGTCCCTTCAGATGTTTTGGGACTACAACTCCCATCATCCCTAGCTAACAGGACCAGTGGTCAGGGATGATGGGAACTGTAGTCTCAAAACATCTGGAGGGCTGAGTTTGCCTATGCCTGCTCCAAGCCTTTGAGATCTTGTCAGGTATTGTCCATATTTTTCCCATCCTATATTTCTGTAAACAATGGCTGGAAACTTATTTTGTTAGAAATAAATGCAGAGATTCCCCTAGATGTGCTTGTCCAGTGTAATCTGGAAATGCATGCAGTTCAGCACTTGGCCAGGCATGGTCAAATAAAGCAGTCCTTATCTTTCCTGTTGTTAGACGTATAGAATGTGCAGAACGGATTAAAAAATGATCTGGTATCCCGTAGAGAAAATTTAGGAGTGTTCATTAACACAAGACACGGAACTGTGTGTATTAATCTAATATTGTGATTTGTATCAAAAAAATTTGCCAAGGTCTTACAAATCCATGTAATAAAACTTAAAGGGGGAATGGGAAATGATATATCATGTAAAGGTCGGGGAGTAGAAATGTAAACCACTATTATTATCAGTATTTCTGTCATTACTATTTCAATGTGTGTGATGGCTGCTTGCTAAACACAATAAATCAAACTGAGACTGATAATTGTGATTTTTGCGGCAGCAGTGTGAAAAAAAGCCCCTCTGCTGTGTGTGCTGAGCTGATGGACCCACATTAACCTTTCATTAGTATGGACAGTGGGTGTCCTGTTTTGCAGTCAACTTGCAACTTGGGGGCCAGAGCCCGTATTGTTTGTTTTCTGTGATGGGTTTCCCTCTCTGGTAAGTGATCTCCCTCTAGCCTGCTAACATTTAGAAGCACTTAGTTGCTATGCGTATGCCTTCGCCATGAGTCTCTGCATCTCCAGGAAGCCACATGGAACCTGAAATATGGTATGTGAAGCAAGACAAGCATGGTGTGGATCTCTACAGTATAGAAGCTTCTAAACTGTATGGCCCACAAAAAGGCATGTGTGAGATTGTGAGCTCTGAATAAATCAGGCAAATCTTAGTGGAGGTCTCGGTGATTACGGCAGTGCTAAAAATTCAGTTAAGGGTGGGAATCTACCAGCCTAGGGACTGATCATTGCCTGTTTGACCCGCAAGACTGTTTTTCAAAACGACACCTTGCCTGTAAATTAGGTGATGTCAGTTGATGGGTGGAGGTTCAATCCTGCTTGGTTACTCCTCCCACCCTTGCGCGATCTCTCCTGATCAACAAATGTGTGGTCCTGTTCACCTGTCAGTGTTGGCCTGCAGAGGTTGGAAGAGATGAGGATATGGCCTATACTGTGCGAAAACGATTCTCCGTCCCTGTGTTAAACCAAATGAATCCTGTGTACCACGTTAATTTAAAATCATCTACTTAATGGCTTTTAAAAGTCAAAGAGCAGAGAGGAAAAGGAGAAGAGCAGAGAGCCTTGGGTTAAGGCAGGAAATTAATGTGGGATTTTAAATATTTTTCCAAAGAAGAATTTGTCTTTGTAATAAATGTAGCAGAATCTACAGAACGATAATTTTTATTTTTGAGTCCCAATGTTAAATAAAGATTTCCACCTGCTATAACAATGATGTGAACCCCTCTGCTCCCCTAATCCTAGGCTCTTCTCCTCTTTCCCTTCCCTTCTTCCTTTGCTATAACTGGTTAGTTTATCCTAATAATAGTTTGGCCCAACTATAATAGATTTTTTTATTATTATTCTGGATAGGGTGAGAGGAACCCACGATACAGTGTGTGTGTGTGTGTGTGTGTGTGTGTGTGTGTGTGTGTGTAATTGAAAAAAGAACTAAAGTGCAGTTATTTTGAAAAGCTGTCTTTGTCTCTCCAGGTATTACTCTAAAAAAACAGAAGCTTCAGATGTGCCTTTACCTTTTGAAAGTACTCCAACAGCAGCAGCACCACCACAAGCACATACTTCCAAATACCATGTTGATAATTATGGAGCGACAGACTTTCCCTCTAGTGATGATCCAGTCCCATTTAGTTCTACCATGAATGAATCTTCTCCTTCTGGAATAACAGATGGTTTCCCTCAAGGTAGCGTTTGTCTTGAGCTCTATTAATACAGTGAGCTGTTCTCTAATCAAAAAAATGGAACGGATTCAGTGTTTTTCAGACTTATAGATGTGGACATTCCAGTTCTTTTTAAAGGCTGGAGCCTCATGTTACACTGGCAATCGTGTTTCCTGAAAACATACCTGCCATTGAGAATACTGGTCATTTGGGGGAGAGAGCAGATTTCATAGAACTGTAGAGTTGGAAAGGACCCTGAGGATCTGGTAGCCTCTGCAATGCAGGAATCAAACTTTACCCATTTAAATTTTGAGAATAGATTAAGACTGTTTTGGCCCCAAGATCTCTAATTTGTCCCTTTAGCAGATAAAACTGCAGAAGTGATGAAGTGCTAGCGATCCCGAGGGAAAACTTCAGAGGGAATGAGCTACTAGATGCATTAGTTTTTTGCTCCTGTACCCGAGTCTGACAACTTGATTTGCTACAGGCCTCCACCAGAGTTTCCTTTGGCTTCCCCATTTTAAATTTCCCTCCCCTCTCTATGCAACAGCTGCTTTGCAAAGCAGGAGAGCACCTTTTGTAGATAACCTGTTGCCAGGCAGAGTTGGAAAAAGGGTGCTCTTTGGAAAAAATGTGCCGGAACAAGCCGCTTGGCCTTGTGAGCACTTTCAGTTTCGATCCACGTTTTTAACACACAGCTCTGTAGCTTTTGGGTGGGGCAGACACACATACAGTGGTTGGGTATAGATTATATACAGTGGTACCTTGGGTTACATACGCTTCAGGTTACAGACTCCGCTAACCCAGAAATAGTACCTTGGGTTAAGAACTTTGCTTCAGGATGAGAACAGAAATCGTGCAGCGGCGGCACAGCGGCAGCAGGAGGGCCCCATTAGCTAAAGCGGCGCTTCAGGTTAAGAACAGTTTCAGGTTAAGAACGGACCTCCGGAACGAATTAAGTACTTAACCCGAGGTAACACTGTATTTGCATGTAATGCTAAGCCATAGTTGATGTAAGTTCAAGCTTATAAACCGACAATAACAAAGAAGAGTACAGCAATAGGCACTTCATCTAATTCACGGCTCCTCTAACACAGTGCTAGTAGGATGACTTTTGACAATCTGAATGTGCACAAAACATTATGGTATGTAAAGTGCATCTAAAACTCTAAAACTGACTATTCCACAGTTAAATGTCAGGAGGACTGCTTCAAACAAAAGCATTCCCTTAAAATAGACATTTCCATCTACATGTATTGTTTGTTATCCATTGATTTTCCCTCTTTTCCCTTTAAGAACCTGCTTTGTTTCTGGAAGAACGTCCAAAAAGAAAAGGAATCACGTATGATGAATTAAGGAGTCGCAATAGAGAGATGTATGAGGCAGGAATAACACAGAAGTCAGAATTTCCATCGAAGTCTTCACAGGAAAAAACAATAAAGAGAGATGGTAAATTGTTAAATAACTTAAATATTTGATGTTTAATCTTGCCTTTCCATTAGGGACTTCCAATATTCTAAGAAGTAGTAAACAAGAAGCAGTGTTCTTTTTATTTTCATGTCCATCATTTTTCTTTGATGGGTGGTCAGTTTTCAAGTAAGTTGACAGGTTTTTGCCCATGTATTTTTATTTGAAATCTCTGTAGCATATAATTACTGCAACTCTCCAGTTTGTTTGTTGAATCAGTAGCCAAGGAAAATTTCATTTCTTCTATTAGAGAAAACTAGCTGAGCATCAGCCTAGGGAACCTTTCTGTTGAAAGGAATGAGCCTACAGGTCTTTCTGATCTGTGGGCCCTTAAGAAGTCAGAATAACATCTAGATCAAATGTTTGAACATAGCCAGGTTTTTTGGAAAGGCTTCTCAGGATTATTTTTTAAAAAACTAATTTAAGCATGCAGAGTATAACTCTGAAGGATATGCCATTGTTTTTTCTGTTTACTATTCAACTGGAAGGAAGCTGCACTTGGCACCAACCTCCAGACTGTGTTTTTTGGATAAAAAACAATACTGTATAGGCCAGGGCAAGCTATGAAATGGAAGTGAAATTACCTTTCCTTTAGAAGAAAATGCATTATGCAAGAACAAGAGTTTATTCTCTCTTTCAGTGTACTTTGCTAGGTCAGTTTCTGAACATCCAGGCATTGTATTTTCACGCAGGAAAATAATAATATGAAACAATGCGTAAATTCAAAAGAAGTCACAATTGTTAATGTTACGGAAGGTGGAATTTTTAGTCTGATATGGTGGAAGGAAGTTGACTAGTGAATTGACTGGGATTGATAAAACACTACCCCTTTCCCAGCTGCCTTAGCTTGTGTGGTCACCTTGACAGTGACAGTAGTCTTGTGTTGGCTTAGCTCAACCATGTAAATAAATGTTCTGACAGAAGTACATCTGCATCCTGTGATATACAGATAGCAACATGTCAGGGAACTGCCATCGGTAGGAAGGGAGGTGAAAGGACTCAGACAGGTTGGAAGAGACTTAGCAGCTGAAGAGGAAACCAGCAGGGGGAGAGAAGCTGAACTGAGGGAGGTGAAAGGGCTCAGACAGGTTGGAAGAGACTTAGCAGCTGAAGAGGAAACCAGCAGGGGAGAGAAGCTGAACTGAGGGAAAGGGAGCTGGGGGATGGCTCAGAGATACTTCCAGCGAAAACAGTGGTGAGGTTTCCGGACCTCCTGTAGCGACACCCACTCCTCGCCGGAAACTGTCACGCAGAGAGTCCAGAAGACGTGTTTCCGTTAAGGAGCTTTTATGTTGGAAGCGATTACGAAAGCAACCACTGTCGGAATCTTCTAGTGACTAAGAGGAGCCATGTCAGAGGGGCTCAGTCACAGACAGAGGTTTGTGGACTTGAACAAACTCTGAGGGAATACGATTTTACGCACAAGCAGCTCATAATCCCATCACAGCATTCCGACAGTCTTTGAACGCAGCTTGTGCAGGAGAAGGCATAATGAGCAACCCAGCAGGAACCGGAGAAGCAGGGGCTGGAGCGGGTCCAAGCCTGGAAGAAAGGTACCGAGTGTTGGAGGTCCAGCTGGCGCTGCAGACGGCGAGGCTGGAGGAGAGGAGGGCTCAAGATGCAGACAAAAGGGAGAAAGCCACCCAGCTCGCCAGAAAGGTACCAGGATGGGTGCAAAAATTTGGGGGGGAGCCCAAAGACTATCATAGCTTTTGGACAGAAATGCAATATGCCCTCAATCTGCAGTTTGATGATTTCCCTGATGAGGAATCACGAGTGGCTTTTGTGATTGGGCATCTTGAAAAGGGGGCGAGAGACTGGGTTAGACCCCTGATGGCAGCTAATAGTGACGTCTTAAAGGACACGATGAAGTTCTTTCGCGCCATGGATCTGATGTTTTCCAGCGATATTGAAAAGGGAGTGGTGCGCAGACAGTTAATGGCTTGCAAACAGGGAGCCGATCTGTACGTGAGTACTGGACTGAGTTCACCATGCTGATACACAGATTGGGGTGGGACTTATCGGCGGAACCCATTCAAATGCTCTTTGAAGAAGGGCTTTCTTCGGCTGTGAAAGATGAACTTTCCCGGGCGCCCAGGGCGGAGTCTATGGACCAGCTGACCAAATCAGCGCTGGCCATAGGAGCGCGCCAGGAGGCGAGAGCATTGGAGAGGCGGGAAGGGAAAGGGGAACGTTGGAAGGAGTTCCGCATTCCAGAAATTCCAGAGCCAACTGTCCCGCCGGCAGAGCCGATGGAAATCGGAACAGCGCGCGCGCGCGCAGTTTCAAAGCCCAGTGAGGGGGGAAGAAGGATGGAAAAGGCGCCCGGAAATGCTATCTCTGCCAACAGCCAGGGCACTTTGCCAGAGTCTGCCCCCAGAGGAAGGAATGGCAAGGGATGGTGGGAGCTGTGGAGGGAAGAGAGGAAAAATACCGGAGCAACTAAAAGCCAACGCCTGGCTGCCATTGTCGGGGCACAGCAGCCAGGCCAAAGAGCAGTGAAAGTGCCCACTCCAGAACCTCCTAAACCCGCCCTAGTGATAGAAGTGACACTAGAGCTCCCAAACGGACACCCTCTAAAGATAAAGGCGCTGTTGGACTCAGGCAGCTCCTGCAATTTCATGAGCAAAGAGTTTGCAGCTGAACACCAGATACAGACGCTCCTTTAAGCAACCCCTGCAGGTAACCACGATCGATGGCAGGGAGCTGTTGGGAGGAGAAGTCAGCTTGCAGACCGTCCCAATGATAATGAAGGTGGCAAGGCACACTGAACTGATAGCTTTTAATGTGGCCACCTTGGGAGGAGCTCCCATTATATTGGGGATGAGCTGGCTAGCGTTACATGATCCGCTGGTGGGCTGGCATCAGAGAGTGGTTTCTTTTGGGTCAGCACATTGCTTAGAACATTGCAAAGAGGGAAAGGTTTTGGCAGGGGCCCAAGCCACCCTAGCAGGGACTGAAGTGAAGGAGAACGTGAAGGTACCACGACAATACGCAGATCTCCGCGACGTCTTCAGCGAAAGGGAAGCTGACCAACTACCACCGCATAGAGCCTTTGACTGTCAAATCAATTTGCTCCCTGGGGCACAGCTCCCTGTGGGCAAGCTGTACGCCATGTCAGACAGAGAGATGCAGGAGCTAAGAGAGTTCATTGACAAGAACCTGAAGAGAGGGTTCATCAGAGAGTCCAGGGCGGTGGGGGCAGCCCAGTGTTTTTGTGGACAAAAAACACGAACAAGCCGAGACTGGTGTGTGACTTCAGGGCCTTAAATGCAGTGTCAGAACCAGTGGCCTTCCCGATGCCCAGGATTGACGACATTTTGACAAGGGTGCGAAAGGGAAAGATTTTCACCAAGCTGGATCTAGGGGGGCGTACAACCTGATACGAATAAGGAAGGGGGATGAATGGAAAACCACCATGTTCACCCCTTTAGGGGCATTTGAATACTTAGTTATGCCCTTCGGTCTACAAGCAGGCTCCGCAACATTTCAATCGTTTATGAACCACGTCCTGGGGCCGTTGCTTTACAAGAATTGTGTGGCCTTCTTAGACGACGTGTTGGTGTATTCTGAGAATGAGGAGCAGCATGTGAGAGACGTCAGAGAAGTGTTGAGCAGGCTGCAAGCCAACCAGCTGTGGGTGAAACTGGAGAAGTGTCAGTTTCATACCAAGGAGGTGGAATTCCTGGGGTATCGCCTGTCTGACAAGGGGTTGGCCATGGATCCCGGCAAGGTCCAGGCGGTACTGGAATGGAAAACACCCAAAACAAGGAAGGATGTGCAGAGGTTTTTAGGGTTTGGGAACTTCTATCGTAAGTTCATCCCAAACTTTGCCCACCTGACGGCGCCCATTACGGACTGTCTCAGCAGTAAGAAGAAGTTCGTTTGGACGGAGGAGGCGGAGCAAGCATTTGAGGAACTAAAAGGGCCTTCGCCTCGGAACAACAGCTCCTGCATGTGGATTTACAAAAACCGATGAGAGTGGAAACTGATGCATCAGACAGAGCGGTTGGGGCGGTGCTTCTCCAGCCAGGGAAGGAGGAGTCAGAGTGGAGACCGTGTGCTTTTTTCGCGAAAGCTGAACAAATCCGAGAGGAACTACACGGTGTATGACCGAGAACTACTAGCCATTCATGAGGCGTTCCGGAGATGGAGGCACCTGCTAATTGGCGCACAACATAAGGTGCAAGTGTGCACTGACCACAAGAACCTAGAGTATTGGAGGACGGCACGAGTGCTCAACCAACGGCAAGTGAGATGGGCTCAGGAATTCTCCAAATTTAACTTTGAGATTTGTTACGTGCCAGGCCCAGAGAATATTAGGCGGACGCTCTCTCACGCAAACCTGAATATTTGGAGGGGAGGGAGCACCCGAAGAGAGACATGTCATTCCAGAGGACCGCTGGGTGTGTGGGGCGGCATTGGTGGGACAAAGAGAACTGGTAGAAGAAACAGAGAATGATGAATACGCCCAGAATAAGCTTAGAGGTCTTAGGGATGAGGGAGAGGAATCAAGGGGTTTCGAGGAAAGAAATGGAGCTTTGTATTACAAAGGGGCACTGTATATCCCTGAAGGAGACTTAAGGGGAGGGTACTCAAGCAGTTGCATGACAGCCCCACGGCGGGGCATTTTGGGCAACACAAGACCATGTGGTTGGTCACCAGGGAATTTTGGTGGCCTAAGGTGAGGGAGGATGTACGTGAGTATGTAAGAGGGTGCGAGCAGTGCCAGCGAGCCAAAGGGGAAAGGCGGGCGCCGGCGGGGCTATTAGAACCCTTACCAACACCAGAACGACCTTGGGAGGCAGTGTCGATAGATTTTATGACTGATCTGCCGAAGTCCAAAGGGAAAACAGCCATCATGGTGGTGGTAGACCTACTAACAAAGATGTGCCACTTTGTAGCTTGCTCGCATGCAGTCACGGCGGAAGAGACAGCAAAGTTATTTGTAGAACACATTTTTAGGTTGCACGGGGTGCCATTGAGGGTGGTCTCAGACCGAGGAAAACAATTTACTTCCAGGTTCTGGAGGAAGCTCATGAGCTTACTGCAGGTGGAGGTCAACTTTTCGACTGCCCGGCACCCTGAAACCAACGGGCAGGCGGAAAGAGCAAACGGTGTCCTCCAGCAATACCTGAGGTGTTATGTCAATGACAGAGAGAATGACTGGGTAGAAAAGTTGGCGCTGGCGGAATTTGCCTACAACAATGCCGAGAATGTGTCCACAGGGATGAGCCCCTTCTTGGCTAATTATGGGTGTCATCCCAGGGCTTTCCCAGGGGGAGAAGGGGAGAGATGGAGCGCACCGGCAGCCGAGCATTTTGTAGAAGAAATGGAAGCAATCCACCGTCAGCTCCAACTCAACTTAGAAAGGGCGAAGGAAGAATACAAGAGGCAGGCAGACAAGAACCGAAGGGAAGGTGAAACCATAAGGGTTGGAGAGAGGGTGTGGCTGTCAACCCGAGGGCTGCCGCTCAAAGGAGGTTGTAAGAAATTAAGACCCAGGAGGTTGGGTCCCTTTGAGGTCATTCAACAGGTCAACCCAGTGGCTTTCAGGCTCCGGTTACCCAACCACATGAAACTGCACCCAGTATTTCACAGGTCGTTACTGTCACCGTACGAGGGGGGACGAGAAGGGATGGCCACTGGGACCGGTCATAGAAGAAAGAGAATGCAGCAGTCATGTGGCAGAAATCCTTGATGCCAGGTGGAAGGGGAATCAGGTGGAGTATTTGGTAGCGTGGGAAGGAGAACCGAGTCAGAAAACACGTGGGTAATGGCCAAAGATATCAATGACGAGGTATTGATAGAAATGTTCCATCAAAGGTTCCCGCGGAAACCTCAGCCTGTGGAGAGGTTCCGGAGGGAATACTTTGGGACCACTGAGGAGGAGGAGGAGTTGGAAGGATTCCCAGAATCGGAAGGGGAAGGGGAGATGGACTCGGAGGAGGAGGAGTGCTTCGAGACCAGGAACCGCAACAGGTGGAGAGAAGTGTTCGAGACATCGGAAGATGAAGGAAGTTCATTCCGGGTTTTGCCTCCTCACCGCCCGTAGAGGAGGGGGCGAGAGGGGGTGAAGGGGGCCCTGGAGGGGAGGTGGATGTCAGGGAACTGCCATCGGTAGGAAGGGAGGTGAAAGGACTCAGACAGGTTGGAAGAGACTTAGCAGCTGAAGAGGAAACCAGCAGGGGGAGAGAAGCTGAACTGAGGGAGGTGAAAGGGCTCAGACAGGTTGGAAGAGACTTAGCAGCTGAAGAGGAAACCAGCAGGGGAGAGAAGCTGAACTGTGGGCAAGGGAGCTGGGGGATGGCTCAGAGATACTTCCAGCGAAAACAGTGGTGAGGTTTCCGGACCTCCTGTAGCGACACCCACTCCTCGCCGGAAACTGTCACGCAGAGAGTCCAGAAGACGTGTTTCCGTTAAGGAGCTTTTATGTTGGAAGCGATTACGAAAGCAACCACTGTCGGAATCTTCTAGTGACTAAGAGGAGCCATGTCAGAGGGGCTCAGTCACAGACAGAGGTTTGTGGACTTGAACAAACTCTGAGGGAATACGATTTTACGCACAAGCAGCTCATAATCCCATCACACAACAGTACCATAATTGTGACATAGATGTTTTGTACTGACCATAATGCCTTTAAAAAATCTGAGAAAGCCATAGCTACAGTAACTGTCCAGAATTGCTACTTGCACATTTCATCTCACAGTGGTGGCAGTGGAAATTTGCACTGTTTTGATCATCTTCAATTGGCTTGAGCCAATTGTCAGGTCACATGATCTGCTGTCACATGGTTCTGTAGTGCTCTAAACATTTGTTAGTGCAGTAGACCTTGCTTCTCCTAATCTTCATTACAATGTTTCTCTTCTCATGGCCTCTTCTTTTATAGTTAAAGTCAATAAGTATGGAGATGCTTGGGAAGACTGAAAATCTTTATACCTTCTGAAGACATTTCTTCAATCAAAAATTTCAGCTTCATCAGTGTTGGTCAGATACCTGAATGTTTTTCTGTATTCTGAAATGCACTTGCTTTGCAATAAAAATACTTGGGTCTTCCTTTTTGTTTTGGCAAACTATCAGACTGGATTGTTGGTCTAAACGTGTTTTGACCAAATAGTAACAAAAAGGAAGAAAGGAGGCAACTAACTGGAATTCACAGAAGCAATTATCTTGTGCCTATAGTCTACTTGGATTGTACTGCTGCTGAAATGGAATAGAGAACCAAAATTATTTAAGTCTATCCCTCCTCACTTTAAAAGGGAATTCACTGTAGCTTTAACTTTTATTTCTTCCTTGCACGTTTCTAATTTACCTATTCAGGTGGTGAAACTAGAGCTGCAATCCAATTCCAGAAATGTTGATGGAGCATAAATTTAAGTCTGTCATTAAACTTTGTGCATGCATACAAGTTACGTGTTCCTAAAGCCAGAAATCAAGCATCCTTCACCAAACTTGTGTCCTCCAGATGTTTTGACTACAGATCTGGTTATGATAGCTAGGACTGATGGCATCATACTTGTCTAAAACATCTGGAGCATCAGTCTGGAGAAGGCTGTCTTAGAAAAAGCATTATTCCGGTATGCGAGAAGCTTTATAATCAGGGTTTATTAAACCCTTAACATTTAAATATTGCAGTCCTGGTAAAAGCCACCAGCAAGTCTAGCATAAATATATTCATTTCCATTATATTCTATATCTGATTCAAACACAATATCTGTACAGGAGAGGAAGAGCTTATAGTAAGCTAAATCATGTACCTAATGCTAAATGAATCAAAATTTACTTTTGAGAATATCAGGTCCAGAAATTAAGTAAAAGAGATTTTGAAATGTGTTGATGTTACATATTTATTTATTTAAAATACTTCTAGGCTGCCTTGCTGTCTCTTATAACACGTTTTCAAGGCTGTAGTGATTCACAAAGGCTATGTGGAATGATGATGATTACATACCATGATCCCCCTTTTATCAGAGGCAATAAAAAAGGTAAAGGTAAACCCCTGATAGTTAAGTCCAGTCTTAGACAACTCTGGGGTTGTGGCGTTCATCTTTACAGGCCAAGGGAGCCGGCGTTTGTCTGCAGGCAGTTTTTCCGGGTCATGTGGGCAGCATGACTAAGCTGCTTCTGGTGCAACGGAACACCGAAACCAGAGCAGCACACGGAAACGCTGTTTACTTTCCCGCCAGAGCCGAACCTATTTATCTACTTGCACTTTTTGGCGTGCTTTCGAACTGCTAGGTTGGCAGGAACTATCAGAGGTAATATCCTCTCCTGAATCAGTGCATAGTTTACTAATAATACAATTTTCTAGTTTTCTCCACTATGAACAACTGTCAACTGAGCATATCTACACTGGATATGCAAAAGCAATCTCTTCATTTGCAGTCGTACCCTAAGGATATTTATATTAGCAATATACTACACTGGTACCTTGGTTCTCAAAACGCCTTGGTACTTGGTTCCCAAACGCAAAAAACCCGGAAGTGTTCCGGTTTTCAAACGTTTTTCAGAAGCCAAACATCTGATGCAGCTATCGGCTATTGTTTCCAGGGTGCCTGCACCAAACAGAAGTTGTGCCTTGGTTTTTGAACATTTCGGAAGTCAAACGGACTTCCAGAATGGATTAAGTTTGGTGCTTTTGTTTTTGCTATTTATGTTGCGTTTTTATTTTTGAGGCTTTTTTGGTTAATTTATTTTTGTGACTGTGTGGAACCCAGTTCAGCTACTGATTGATTGTGTGACTGTGGAAATGGATAAAAGCCCCCCATCCAAACAATGACTATCATCAGTGCATGTAAGAATTTTTTTTTAATTTTTTTTATCATCTACAATACTGTCTTATTTATTTTATAGTACAGTACATTGATTACTGCTTTCATTTTATGGATCAATGGTCTCGTTAGATAGTAAAATTCATGTTGAATTGCTGTTTTAGGGGTTGTTTTTAAAAGACTGGAACTGATTAATCCGTTTTGCATTACTTTCTATGGGAAAGTGTGCCTTGGTTTTGGAACACTTTGGTTTTGGAATGGACTCCCGGAATGGATTAAGTTTGAGAACCAATGTACTAGTGTAATGGATTCAATTTGACAACTCATATACTTCCGTTACAGAACATGTGCTGAATAAGCTCAAACCTCTTATCAAGTTTTTCTGTTTGACAAATACTCTGAACTGCACTGCTAAGGTGCAAACCTGAAAGCAGAGTAACTGTCTTTAAGCACTGCAGTGACAGTGATGCTGTTGCAAGTTGTCATGGCCTCTAGCTTTCATCTTCACTTTAGTGTTCCAGAACTTGTGACAAACAAGTTCATCAAAGTAACTTTTATTTTATTTTTTTTAAATCGTGTAAAACATACAAAGGGTTTTGAATGAAAGCAGGTTTTTCAGAATTGCAGTCCTTGTGTAGAACAGGTACCATCACAAAATGCTTTCTTCCACATTATCTGAAATAAAAAAGTATTGGTTAAAGGGATTCAGCCCCTTTGAGGTGAGAATACAGGTTTGGAGGACAAGGTGTGACCTAGCTTAATGTTGGGGATCCCCCCCCCCACAGTCAAGCAGTAGTAGTTGATCTAATGGACTTTAAGTAGTAAAACACCGTACAGCCTTTGGTTCAAAAATACATAAATGGTTAATCTAATAAATGTAGCATTTTGCTAAATGTACTTCTGGTGACTTAAATTAACAGACCAAGCTGCCATACAACACTCTTGGTTTTGAAAACTACCTACATGACTGGTGAAGCAAACAATGTACAGTGGTTCCTTGGTAGTCGGAATGGCTTGGCTCCTGAACGCCGCAAACCCGGAAGTGAGTGTTCCATCTTGCAGACGCTTTTCAGAAGCCGAACGTCTGACGCGGCTTCCGATTGAGTGCAGGAGGCTCCTGCAGCCAATTGGAAGCTGCACCTTGGTTTTCGGTATTAAATTATTTAAATTCTTTTTACATTTATCTACCACCTCTCTATCATCCTGGAACCCAAGGTATCCTATATTTAGTTCCCAGGTGGTCTCCCATGAAGGCACCGATCAGACCTAGACTGACTTAGCTCTAGCAAGATGGTAGAGTCATGTCCCTTCAGACCATATACCCTGGGCCATATTCTAAGCTAATCTTCATGTATTGTGTTAAAGCAGCAGCTGCAGATGTTGCTGAAGAAGTGCCACATGTAGAATGCCGTTTTGGAAGAGACTTGAAATACTGGCCATAGATGCAGCACAATTCTCTTTTAATGATAAAAACACCACCATACTAATGAGCATGGAAGTGACAGCACTTACCAGCCTCACTTCTGTTTTGTCTAAATCTGCTGTTAAACTGAGACTAAAGTCAGAGAGAATACTTGGCAGTGAAAGCCAAGGAGGAGTTTACCCTCTGTTGCATTTTATCATTAACATAGTGAGTCATAATCCCTCAGAGCTAGCCAAGAAAATACAAATAGGCAAGCAGCGTGGGGAGAGAATAAAACAAAGAGATGAAGATAAGCACACTTAATAATTTGTGAAGGAGAAGAAAGTGCTATTTCTGACCTGCCCACCACCCTACAACCAAGATGCCAACAATAGTCAAGTTTTTTACCTCTTACTAAACCTGATGTGGCAGTAAGCAAGATCATAACTCTTTCCATTGTTTATAGTGACTGATTTCCAAGATACTGATATATTTCAAAAAGCGACCAAAATCTTGTTAAAACTACAAAGATGTGTGTACCTGTTTTAAGAAGCAGAAGGCTCTGGTTTTTCTGATGCACTTGCTTCAAACTTAGCTTTGCATTCGTTGCAGACATGAGGACAGTGCCTAAAACATTAGGAGAAGGGGGGGGGGGAGTCAACGTTACACAAGATTCTTCCCAAATCAAGAGATCTTCACATGGGGCTTTGCACCTGACACCTCCACCTCCACCCTGGGTCCCAATGCACCAAAAATGTCAGCTGCCCTGTTATCCACACAGTAATTTGCACATGATCTAGCTACGTGCAGAAGGATAAAGTGCTTGGTATAAATTGATAAGACATGGTCACAATTCTAGCGTGGTGCAGATAGGCAGTTCTATTCCATTCTGTGAAAGGAAGGGCCTTTGATCCAATGGATGCTCCCACTAATAGGAAGGGAGAGAGCAGGCAATATTCCTCACTGTGCACTTTCAAAGCTGTTCTGGAGGGCCCCCCACCCCCTCCAGTTCAGATGTGCAGAGGAAATGGGAAATCATTGAGATTTTTGTAGAGCTCTTGTAACCTAGAAGAGTGGTTTTTCGACAGTGTTCTTATCACAAGGTTCCTTGATACAACCCAAGAGTCACTTGTCTGTATTTATTCCAAACAGACCTTTTCCATCCGGGACCAAACGGTTTAAGACCAGCGCTTTCAAACTTCTTCTGACAGGTTCTTATGTATGACATTGTCCCAATACCATAGCCCAGGGCACCAGCAACTGCAGAGAGAGATCAAATTGTTGTCATACGTAGTAATCAGATATAAAGGTATTCATAAGTAGTACAGGCTTTGAAAAGTATTCTCCAGATATTCTGCCTTGCTAATCCACACTGATCTGGGAAAGCAGGAAACCCAGAAAGAGATACCGCTTCACTGAGGATGCTCCCTTGTGTTTGGTGGTGAGTTTAAAATAGCCTACTCTATTACTCTTTTAATATCAGTGAATGATTAAAGTGAATGGCTCCTTGCAGGCAGCAGCAGGCAGCACACGTTCCGCTACAAAGGAGGATCTCAATATGTTCACCCATAGACCAGATGGTTGGTACCAAGTTGGGGACACCAAATGGCAGACAGATCTAGTTTACTGGAAGTTTGTGAAACTCCTGCATCAGCTTCTGCCTCCGATTCTGGACTTCTCTTGGCCACAGACTCACCCAGCTCACTAAGCCCTATTACCCCTTCCCCTTCTGATACCTCCTCCTCCCAGTCTTCTCCCTCTTGACACTCATTGTTCCACCACCAATCCCTGGGCTCTGAGCCTTCTTCCCTTGGTGGCTCCCCAGCTGCTTCCTCCCCATCATTACTCTGTGTCCAACCAGTCCATGATATGTTATTTGTTTTCCACTGCAGTAGCACTGGCTTCCACTTCACTCTGCTCGCTTGCTTGCTTCAATCACCTAGCGATAGTGACCCTCCAGCAGAATTGGGGATTCTTTTTTAACCTGAGCCACTTTCTCTCCTAGGCAACTTTCCAGAGGTCACATGGGTCCACAGGCAACCAAGTGGGCAAGGCAATCGGTATGACTCTTAAGATTTGTTCCACAAGCCACACAAATTCAGACATTTCCTTCCAAACCTACATAACCCCACACCTCCCCATCCTCCCTCCAGACACTCTCCAGCCAAGCAAGAGGAGGGTGTAGAGCAGGGCCCAATGAGAGGAATGGCTGGTGAGAGTCCCAGAGGCCTGCATTTAGCCCACAGGCCTGGGGCTCCCTACTCTGTTGGCATCCATCTGCCTCGGGAAACAATGGAGTGCGCCTCTGCGGGTGAAGCCAAACCACTGCATTGCCAGCACCGAAGTAGCCTCTGGGGTGCAAGCACGGGCAGTGTGTATGGAGGCCCTAGGCTGCCTCTTGGCCTCACTGATGTGGTCCAAAGGAAGCAGAGCAATATGTTTGCCACCAGCTTGGCTGTAGGAGTTGCCAGGAGGTGGCATAACAGGTGCCATCCAACCGTCTTAAGGACTCCACTCTGGATTGTGTAGGATTTTTTCTTTGGCCCTTTCTTCTCCAGAAGGTCTGCTTCTCAATCCACCGGAGCCTGTGTTCACATGCAGGGGAAAGTCCCTAACTCACCAGGGTTTAAGACCCATCGGCTACCCTTACCTGGTTTAGCCAGCCAGCTGAAGCCGTTGCATGTTGACAGCGTCTAGGAGCGACACTCTAGCTCCACAGTAACATTTCAGTTGTGTTCCAAGGTGTGGTCTGCACAGGTTTACTTAAGCAGATGTTCCTGAGTCGCAGCAGGATTGGACTTGAATATCCTTCCTGCTCTATTGTTTTGATAAAACCCTAACTATAGTGATTAATGATTACATACTATATAAAAGTGATCAGTATAAAGTTACAGCCTAATACAGAACCTTCAGAAACAACCACATGATTCCAAAGCTCTCTCTGCATTCATGAGGTTTACAAAACAGCTTTAATTTAAATGCTGAAAATTGACACTCGGGAAGCCGGAAGCTATACTAGATTCCACACATGCCCAAATTTATCATGCGAGCATGGCAGCATTCCAGCATAATTACAATGGCCAGTTCTCACCTTTTCTGCTTAAACTTTACAAAGAGTTTTTGGACTTACTTGCCAATTTAGGGAGTGATCCAAATTTAGGGCTTGGTTTGAGAACACCTGGAATAAAATGCAGTTATTAGGAAAAGCCTTTTAGACCGTCATTTGATGACACAACTGTTGTGCAGTTCTTCCGTGAAAGATATTGAAGCCTTCTTCTTCTTCTTCTTCTTCTTATTATTTTTCCTGCTTGAAACATACCAAGTGCTCCCAGTATAATTTCCAGTTATAACTTTGATTCTCAAGTAATCCCATCTGAAATAACTAATATCTAGAAGACTGTGAGCAAAATAAAAACAAAAACGTGAAGACTATTTTTACCCCGTGAGAAAGCTTACTTCCTAACCTGTTTTCCATAGCATTAAATTAACCATGCCACCATGCTCAGCCAAGGCAGCACATTTCACAAGTCTTGAAAAAAAAAAACCCCAACCAACCAACCAACCAACCAACCAACCAACAACCCACATTATATTTTAGGGGAACACCTAAATGTAAGAACAGCCGGCTGTATCAATCCAATGGCCCATCTCCTCCAGCATCTTGTTCTCACAACAGCCAACCAGATGCTTGTTAGGAAACCCACAAGCAGGACCTGAGCACAATAACACTCTCCCACTTGGCAGTTTCCAGCAATTGTTATGCTGGAACATTACTGCCCCTGACCATGATGGCAAAGCACAGCTATCATGGCCAGCAGCCACTGATAAATACATAAAAGCACTCTTAATCAGGAAGCCATTGTTGAACATACATACAACAGAGAAATGTACCCAGTGGCAAGTCTGCGCTCGCCTCTACACAATGTGTGAAGAGCCACCATATATTTCACATCACCTGTTGAATATATTGAGACCTAAGAGTTGAAACAGCACCCAGGCTGAGATTTCCACCACAAGATCTATTCTGGGTTTTTCCCTCAGCATTTACCAAGCTTTAGCAGTGATTGACTGGTGGTTCTAGAAAACTGTCCACGTGTTTGTTTGTTTTTACATTGAAGAAAGAAAAAAGCCACTTACCATTGGCAAGTAATCCTTGAGTGATCAGCATACCTCCCAGTGACAGAGGGAGAGCTGCATACAATGAAACAAGCAGTTATAGCCTTTGCATAAATTCAGATGCATCTCCCGCCCACCCTGCATAGTGTCGTTAAAATGTGGTCTTAACAACTATTTTGCTTATTCTAAAAAATAAAAAAATGAAAAGAGCAAATTAGAAAATCTGAAGCTGGAATTCTGAGGTGCTGACTTTGCCGAATACTGGGTTTTATACTCTGCACTGCTATGCAGTTAATATTTTCATTTTCTGTGCTTACTGGCAGTTTCCACATTTAATATCTGCTAAATAAGTACAATAGCCTTGCTGCAACTCCAGTTTTGAGCACCACTGTGCAACAAATTGGTGACATGTATCCATTTAGTTCAGTGTTTCCCAAACTTGGGTCTTCTGCTGTTTTTGGACTACAATTCCCATCATCACTGGTCCTGCTAGCTAGGGATGATGGGAGTTGTAGCCCAAAAACAGTGAGAGACCCCTGATCTAGTTCAAGGGGCTGGATGAGCACAATACACGTGTGGTTCCAGATATGCATCTTTAACACATAGAGAAGACACCCATGTGCAGACTTAGGTGGGCTGTAGCCTTGGTGGGCAAAGGAAGGAACAAAGAAATTGCCAGCTTTGCAACAACAAAAAGTCCATAAAATCAATAGCGCATAAAAACATTTACCATCATACATACTCACACAAGATCATTTGGATGCTACATTTGTGGACTAAAGAAAAACAACTTTTAAGATTAGATTCTTCACAAACCACAAGTGATGCAGCAAATGGATATTACAAGCCCAATATACTCAAAGATTTCAGTCTAGTCCGTACACCATATCTCAGCTTATTATGCTGAGAAATGAACAAGTCTTTTGCCCGCACATGCAGCCTCCCTGTGTAGTAAGGCTCCGATTAATTACAATTTACCATGTCATCTGAACAAGGAAACTAGGCTTATCAGCATCAAAACAAGCCAGGATCTTAAACCTTCAGACTATGGCCAAAGGCCCTGATCATATCTCAAGTCATTTAACTGAGATTATGATTATGAAAACATGGCCATTGACTGTGGTCAGATATAATGATAAAACTTGAGCTCATGCACTCCTAGCACAGCTACAAGGAGAAGCAGTTTTTAATTTCCACTTTCAAATAACTGCAATTTAGTGTTCTGTCTGAACCTGGACAAACTGCAGTAATTCTTAACTTTTGTAAATACTGAAACTGCCTTGGTCATGCTGGTTGATGATCTCCGGTGGGCTAGGGACAAAGGTGAAAGCTGTTTCCTAGTTCTGCTGGATCTCTCAGCGGCCTTTGATACCATCGACCATAACATTCTTCTGGACTGTCCAGAGGAGCAGGGGGCATGTTATACAGTGGTTCTGCTCCTTCCTCCTGGGCCGTGTCCAGAAAGTGGTATTGGGGGATGAGTGTTCAGACCTCGGAGCTCTCACTTGTGGGGTGCCTCAGGGTTCTCTCCTCTCCCCCATGCTTTTTAACATCTACATGAAGCTGCTGGGAGAGATCATCAGGGGGTTTGGGCTCGGTGTTCATCAGTATGCGGATGATACCCAGCTCTACCTCTCTTTCAAATCGGAACCAGTGAAGGCGGTGAAAGTCCTGTGTGAGTGCCTGGAGGGGTTGGAGGGTGGATGGCGGCTAACGGATTGAAGTTGAATTCTGACAAGACAGAAGTACTGTTTTGGGGGATGGGGTGGGTGGGTGTGGGGGACTCCCTGGTCCTGAATGGGGCAACTGTGCCCCTGAAGGAGCAGGTGCACAGCCTGGGAGTCATTTTGAACTCACAGCTGTCCATGGAGGCGCAGGTCAACTCTGTGTCCAGGGCAGATTCTACCAGCTCCATCTGGTACACAGGCTGAGACCCTACCTGCCTGCGGAGTGTCTCACCAGAGTGATGCACGCTCTAGTTATCTCCCACTTGGACTACTGCAATGCACTCTACACGGGGCTACCTTTGAAGGTGACTCAAAAACTACAACTAATCCAGAATGCGGCAGCCAGACTGGTGACTGGGAGTGGCCGCCGAGACCACATAACACCGGTCTTGAAAGACCCACATTGGCTCACAGTACGTTTCAGAGCACAATTCAAAGTGTTGGTGCTGACCTTTAAAGCCCTAAATGACCTCGGCCCAGTATACCTGAAGGAGCATCTCCACCTCCATCGTTCAGCCTATACAATGAGGTCCAGCTCCAAGGTGGTTCCCTCGTTGCAAGAAGTGAAGTTACAGGGAACCAGGCAGAGGGCCTTCTCAGTACTGGTGCCTGCCCTGGGGAATGCCCTCCCATCATATGTCAAATAAATAAACAAATATCTGACGTTTAGAAGACATCTGAAGGCAGCCCTGTTTAGGGAAGTTTTTAATGACTGATATTTTAATGTATTTTTAATCTTTTGTTGGAAGCCGCCCACAGTGGCTGGGGAAACCCAGCCAGATGGGTGGGGTATAAATATTATTATTATTATTATTATTATTAACCACTTTCAGGGCTTTTTTAATAAATAAAAAATGAAGCAATAAACAAACTATGGTTCACTGAAACAAGTCAAGTTCAAACCTTGGTTTAGGAAGCTGGCTTGTTTTGATAAACCACAGTGAAGGTTAACTACAATTTAGGCTTCATATGTAATGCTAAACAGTGGTTAGTCAAAAATGGCTGCAAATTTTTGAATGGTGTATCTGCAGTGTTTAAAATGAGAGTGGAACAGGAGCGCACAAGGCTGGCCTAGGCTTATTCTAATGGCAATAAGCCATCATTTATTACTACTTCTGAATGCAGCCATTGAAAATGATTTTCTCATGTCTGATTAATGTTACCAGTAAGAAAACCAGCAGGTTTTGGATTCAAATGCTGTGAAATAGAAGGGTGTTCCAAGCAGGCCTAGTAGTAGTAATTCTCAAACAAGATATGAAACATTGAAACAAATGCTGTAAGGTAGATGTCAGGGAACTGCCATCGGAAGGAAGGGAGGTGAAAGGACTCAGACAGGTTGGAAGAGATTCAGCAGCTGAAGAGGGAACCAGCAAGGGGAGAGAAGCTGAACTGAGGGAGGTGAAAGGGCTCAGACAGGTTGGAAGAGACTCAGCAGCGGAAGAGGAAACCAGCAGGGGGAGAGAAGCTGAACTGAGGGAAAGGGAGCTGGGGGGATGGCTCAGAGATACTTCCAGCGAAAACAGTGGTGAGGTTTCCGGACCTCCTGTAGCGACACCCACTCCTCGCCGGAAACTGTCACGCAGAGAGTCCAGAAGACGTGTTTCCGTTAAGGAGCTTTTATGTTGGAAGCGATTACGAAAGCAACCACTGTCGGAATCTTCTAGTGACTAGAGGAGCCATGTCAGAGGGGCTCAGTCACAGACAGAGGTTTGTGGACTTGAACAAACTCTGAGGGAATACGATTTTACGCACAAGCAGCTCATAATCCCATCACAGCATTCCGACAGTCTTTGAACGCAGCTTGTGCAGGAGAAGGCATAATGAGCAACCCAGCAGGAACCGGAGAAGCAGGGGCTGGAGCGGGTCCAAGCCTGGAAGAAAGGTACCGGGTGTTGGAGGTCCAGCTGGCGCTGCAGACGGCGAGGCTGGAGGAGAGGAGGGCTCAAGATGCAGACAAAAGGGAGAAAGCCACCCAGCTCGCCAGAAAGGTACCAGGATTGGTGCAGAAATTTGGGGGGGAGCCCAAAGACTATCATAGCTTTGGACAGAAATGCAATATGCCCTCAATCTGCAGTTTGATGATTTCCTGATGAGGAATCACGAGTGGCTTTTGTGATTGGGCATCTTGAAAAGGGGGCGAGAGACTGGGTGAGACCCCTGATGGCAGCGCATAGTGACGTCCTAAAGGACACGATGAAGTTCTTTCGCGCCATGGATCTGATGTTTTCCAGCGATATTGAAAAGGGAGTGGTGCGCAGACAGTTAATGGCTTGCAAACAGGGGAGCCGATCTGTACGTGAGTACTGGACTGAGTTCACCATGCTGATACACAGATTGGGGTGGGACTTATCGGCGGAACCCATTCAAATGCTCTTTGAAGAAGGGCTTTCTTCGGCTGTGAAAGATGAACTTTCCCGGGCGCCCAGGGCGGAGTCTATGGACCAGCTGACCAAATCAGCGCTGGCCATAGGAGCGCGCCAGGAGGCGAGAGCATTGGAGAGGCGGGAAGGGAAAGGGGAACGTTGGAAGGAGTTCCGCATTCCAGACATTCCAGAGCCAACTGTCCCGCCGGCAGAGCCGATGGAAATCGGAACAGCGGCGCGCGCGCAGTTTCAAAGCCCAGTGAGGGGGAAAGAAGGATGGAAAAGGCGCCCGGAAATGCTATCTCTGCCAACAGCCAGGGCACTTTGCCAGAGTCTGCCCCCAGAGGAAGGAATGGCAAGGGATGGTGGGAGCTGTGGAGGGAAGAGAGGGAAAAATACCGGAGCAACTAAAAGCCAACGCCTGGCTGCCATTGTCGGGGCACAGCAGCCAGGCCAAAGAGCAGTGAAAGTGCCCACCAGAACCTCCTAAACCCGCCCTAGTGATAGAAGTGACACTAGAGCTGCCAAACGGACACCCTCTAAAGATAAAGGCGCTGTTGGACTCAGGCAGCTCCTGCAATTTCATGAGCAAAGAGTTTGCAGCTGAACACCAGATACAGACGCTCCTTTAAGCAACCCCTGCAGGTAACCACGATCGATGGCAGGGAGCTGTTGGGAGGAGAAGTCAGCTTGCAGACCGTCCTAATGATAATGAAGGTGGCAAGGCACACCGAACTAATAGCATTTAATGTGGCCACCTTGGGAGGAGCTCCCATTATATTGGGGATGAGCTGGCTAGCGTTACATGATCCGCTGGTGGGCTGGCATCAAAGAGTGGTTTCTTTTGGGTCAGCACATTGCTTAGAACATTGCAAAGAGGGAAGGGTTTTGGCAGGGGCCCAAGCCACTCTAGCAGGGACTGAAGTGACGGAGAACGTGAAGGTACCACGACAATACGCAGATCTCCGCGACGTCTTCAGCGAAA